AGAGAGAGAGAGAGAGAGAGAGAGAGAGAGAGAGAGAGAGAGAGAGAATGAGAATTTAGGAATAGGAGTTATAGGGCCTGAGGAGCCGTATAATTAAGGGCACTGGCTACTCTACTCTCTACTCTTCTAGACGACCCAGGTTTTGATTCCTGGCACCCACACGTTGGTTCACAAGCATCTGTAACTCTAGTTCTGTGGGATCTGGTGCCCTCTTCTGGCCTCCATGGGCATTGCATGCATGTTGTGCACAACCATTCATACACATAAAGAGGAAATTTTTTTAAAATAATAGAAAATAGGAGGCTGAAAATGTACAATTATAAATTATATGCCTTACCATTAGTTTTAAAATACTTACACGTATATGTATAATATATAAATGTATATTGTATATATTTCAATAAATCGAATATATATACATATTACAAACTCTGTATGAACGCATTATAATTTTTATTGTGCCAGTTAAGCCTGGCTTTTCAAGGAGGTGTGGTCGATCGTGTCATTTAACATGAAAGCTTCATGTACTCAAAATCCACGCGTTGCCTCCCGGCCGACTGTGGTCTGATATCCACGTCTCTTCACGGTCTGCTAGTCAAAGCTTTTCCTGGAGGGAGCCTGGGGAGCCTGCTGGAGTTCCAGCACCGAAGCGGACCCGGGAGATCGAAGCGGACCCGGGAGGACAGTCTCCTACATCCTCCACGGAGACGTGACTGTGGTTCAACTCGCCTCCTCACCAGCTCCCCAGTCACGTGGAACTCGCCCCGCCCCGCCCCGCCTCGCCTCCCATGTTCCGGTCCAGACGCCGCTACTTCCGAAAGGGGCGTGGCCCACAGGAAGTCCTCGCGTTATGGAAAAGGGGGCGTTCCCGTCTCCGGTGTCATGGCGGCCTCCTTCCCTGAAGGCGTGCCGGAGACTGAGGACGGGAAGAGACCGCAGTTCGGGAACCGGTTCCTGAGCGACCCGGCGCGCGTCTTCCACCACAATGCCTGGTAACTTCCCTGCGCCTCACCGGCTCCCGCCACCCCGGATCCCCTGGAGAAAAGCCCTCTCCGCCCGCTCTCCTCCCGCGGCGGTAGCTGAAGCATCCCCGGCTCCGGCACTCACCCGGCCCGCGGCTGGGACGTGTGGGCCTTAAGCTGCCCGTTTGGTTTTCACAGGGACAACGTGAAGTGGTCAGAGGAGCAGGCCGCGGCGGCGGAGAGGAAAGTGCAGGAGAACAGTTCCGAGCTGGTGTGCCCGGAGAAGCAAGGTGCGCTGCTTTGTCCACAGCCGGCAGTGCGGGACGCGCCTGCTCAAGAGGGCAAGAGAAAGCGGGCACCGGGATCTTTCTTACTGGCCTGAGGGAAAACCCCGTTATAGACCGGGATCGGGGAGAGGACGAGCTAGAAGGCAAAGGGGCTGCCTTCTAACACAATCTTGAAGGAATTTGGGTTGAATTTTTTATTCTCTAGTTCTACGAGTGTCGTGTTGATGTGGCTGGCCTGTGGCAGCCGTAAAAAGTCGTTCCATCACCTTAGGGTAGCTTCTACAGTTTAGGGTCTGCTGGGGAAGTTTCCATTAGAGCTAGATTGATGTGGTCAGATCCTAACCACTGTTGGAGGAGAGGATCTTTTCGTGAGGTGATGGATTTGGAGATTTGGGACTTATATCAAAGAATGTGTGCAGCAGAGTGGGGATGAGTCTGCTCAAAGAAAAAGAGGTCCTTCCTGAAGACCAGAATAATTTCTTTGTAAAGTACTCTAAAAACTAAAACTAGAATTGGTTGGCCCTGTTTCTGAGAGGCATTTGAAAGTAAACCTAGAACTTTAAGATAGTAGGCACTGGGGGTTGGAGAGATGGCTCATCGGTTAAGATAATAAGCACTGATAAAGTCTCTGTACAGTACTGAGTTCACAGTACTGGCCAGCCATGTACCTCCTAAGATGTAGAGGTGTAATCTCTTGGTAGGCAGAAGCAAGAGGTTGATTGGGGTCAGAATCATTCTTGCTACATAGAATTTCAGTCCAGCCTGAGCTGCATGAGACCTTGTCCCAAAAGTAAATACACATATACGTATGTACGTACGTATGTATATATGTATTCCAGCTGCAGTAGGCATCCTGCCTGCATTGTTAGATCTGACTAGAGGAAGCAACATAGAGTTGAAAGGGATTTTGGAAATCATGTAGCCCAGTATCCTCTTTTTACAGTTAAAGGACCAGTTAGCCAAGTGCAGTGGTGTATGCCTGTAGACTCAGCTACGTGGGAGGCTGAGACAGAAGGATCACTGAATTGGAGGCCATCCTGGGCAGCATAGGGTGATATAGTCTCCAAAAAAATTAAACTTGGACCACAGGGCCTTAAGTGCTTTGCCTAGAGGTAAGCAGTCAGTGGTGGATTCCCATTTCTCAGGTTTTCATTCTTTCATCAATTCTAGTCCAGGACTTTGTGTTGGCAAAAGCAGAAAAAGAGCCCCTGTCAGTCTCTTGATTAATTGAAACTCGTCTTGCTTCTGGAAGGCAGTTTTCCATTGTCTAGTTTTGTTTGTTTTCTAGTTATTTACTTTAGTATTCATTAATAATCTTGACTTTGTGCATGGCCCCATGTTCTAAAGAAGCAGGGACATGCCTGCTTCTTTAGTTTCATGGATGACAGTCACTGAATTTATACAAACATCCAAAGAACCTGAGACATTTAGCTTGTAAATAAAAAGACTTACAAGGGAAAATAATTACCACAGACACCAAAGAACCTGTGTGTCCCTGACAAATAGAACCTTGAAACTAAAAATAATTAGGTCTTTACTTGTGTACGGTGCTAGGGGTTTGCTTAGTTTCGTAATTTTCCTGTAGTCAAAGGCCATCCAAAGCTCTGTGAGGAAAATGATGGGTAGCTAACTCCCTGTCTGATGGTACTAGCGAAAGCTGGGTTCCCTGGGGATGAAAAGTGGGTGATATTAATGTGAGGTAGATAGCAAGATGATTACCCTCGAAAGTGTCCAGTTCTAAGACTATGCCTGTTCTCAAGCATACTTCTGGAATAAAATGACATTTGGTGACACAGGATAGTTGACATTAGATATAAATAAAATATTTGAGACTGACTCTTAAAATTCTTAAATGTTTACAGTTGATTATGAAGTCAATGCCCATAAATACTGGGATGACTTTTATAAAATCCATGAAAATGGGTTTTTCAAGGATAGACACTGGCTTTTTACTGAGTTCCCTGAACTGGCACCTAGCCACAATCACCTGACGGATTTACCCTTGGGAAAGCAGAAGAGTGAAGTCTGTGAGGATGGACCTGGCTGGACAACAGAACAGCACAAGTGTTCTTGTACCTGCCATGGATGTAAGACTCGGGTGCCTCCTGTGGAAGAGCCAGTGACTCAGAGGCTCAGTCACCTAGAAATTCGTGCTGATGAATTTCCTGGCTCCTCTGCCACCTACCGAATACTTGAGGTAACTTTATTTTCCTAATAATGGAGTTAGTGAAGATGTCACATTTTACATGCAGATAGACTAGAAAGGCTGACCTAGAGTGTCTTCTGTCTGATGAACTTGGCTAGATTTGGGCATCATCATATCAGCCTGGAATCATCACCATTTATTTATTTATCTATTTATGAACTGAGAAAATGCCTAGGCAGGTACCATCAGGGAAATTCAGAAATAAGGGTCTACCAGCTTCACTGGAAGTTTAATTCTAGAGCTAGTAAAACTTAGAATTAAGTCCAGTGCCATGGAGGGCAGCAGTGCTAGAAATTGAACCAAAGGCCTGAAACAGGTTAGGGGAGCTCTTTACCACTGTGCTGATCCGTTGCCTCCTGTGAGATGCTGCATAAGCTCGTGTCACTCCCAGAATGAGGGAGTACTTGTCTCACTGTAAGGAACTCTGAGGTAGTGTATGCAGAATGGCTAAGACGGATGACTACCAGGTGGCCCTCCATAGATGTTTACAGTGTTTGTTGATGCAGAGAGCACTATACTTAGCACAGTGTCACAGTGTAAATGTTTCCACTGAGCCTGTTGTAGGAGACAAGGAGGTCCTGATTCTCCCAGATAAGCAGCACTAGGGGAACCTGGGAGATTAGCACTCAGAGTTGTTCCTTCAAGGGAAGGGATGCAGGACTTGCTCAGAAGGCTGGGAGCAGAAGTAGTTTATAGCAGACCCTCATCATAAGCTGCTTTTTCTCTGTCAGTCTGTAGAACCTATCTTTATAGAAGGGGTCACATGTACTGTACAAGGAGTATTCATGTTTGATCTTTATTCAGCTTCTCTGTTCCTCAAAGAGATTTATGGATGCTTTATTGTACACATGGAATTGAATTAATCATTACCACTCAGCGTCCCAACACCGGCTGTGTAGTCATGTTGAACCTGCCTTCTTTCCTCCCTGATCATCTATGCTGGCCATAAAGATCCCAGAGACCCTGCCTGCAGCCTATCTTTCTCGTAATGGTGTAGTGAAACTCATTAGGAAAATAATGTATCTACAGGGCTTTTTGCTTGAACTCAGAAAGTAGCTTGTGCCATTTTTTTAGACTCGCTTTCTTTAGCCAGTGAAACCCGGAGTTCTTGTCTTTTACTAAGTCTCCTTAATGAGAGTCCATGAGAGATCAGGAAGTGCCATGCATCCTATTTAGTTCAGGTCATTGTACCTTTCCTAGAACAATTCTTATAAGCTGGGCATGACAGTGCCTGTAATCTCTGCACTCAGGAAGCTGAGGCTTGGAAACCATAAGTTATAGACCATTTTGGACCCTGTTAAGGAAAAGAAAGAGTGGTGAGGAAAGGGTTAGTAACCTCTGGGACTAATGGTTCCTTTCTGTTACAGGTTGGTTGTGGTGTAGGAAACACAGTCTTTCCAATTTTGCAAACTAACAAGTAAGTATGTTGTCAGGTCTACAGGACGGCAAAGGGAAAGGGGGAGGCTTTCTCCTGGAAGCATGAGTTATTCAGGATTTAGATACCCTTTTAGGAGTAGCATTAGTTTAGTTAGAAAATTAGAGTTAACACCAGCCATAGCACTAATGTGTAATGCCTTCTCTGAAGTGCCTAAGAGACCTCTGTGTTGTGTTTCTCTTGTAAGCTCTGTGAGAATATTGTTAGGTCGTTAATTCTTACACCACCACCCAATGATCAAGGTGGGACAGCTGACCTACAGGGCATTGTCTCCAGTTCTCCTGAAAACCTGCTTCAGTGAACACAGGACTGACAGCAGGACTATGAGGTTCTCCCCACTGTGACCAGGTGATCAGTACCTGAAGTCCAGGTGTCCTTCAGTTCGGTTCCAGTACTGTCTGGCTGGAGTTATCAAACCCTACAGATTAAAGTCTTAGTCTTACAAGACTTCGCCCACTTCAGATTCTAGCTGCAAACACAGGCCCCCACACTTTCAGTGTGCTGTAAGCCAGGAGAGTCTTCAATCGCCTTGTGTTTTTAGCTGGTTTTACTGTTCATTATGAGAGGAATTGTAAGGATACAGAAAGCAAACAGCCAGGTGAGGAGATATACAGGGTGTGGACTTTGTGCTCAGGTCCATCCCATGGCGGTGGGAGAGGCTCAGGAGACTCTACCATAGAAGCAGAAGGTCAAAGGTTATTGTCAGAAGACCTTTAAAGACACTGACAAGTCTTGGAGTATGTCACGTTTTCCATAAGTCACTTCAGACAAGAGTGTGTCTGAATCTCAGGAATTATGTGTGTTCTCCAGATTGTGCAGCAAGAGCCCTTAGCCACTCTGGCTGTGCCATTTAAGATTACCGGAACCCGCCTAGTGATGTACCGCTGGCTTAGAAGGGTCGGGGTTCTTACTTAATAAACTTACTGTTAGCCATATCCACTTGACCTTCAAAAGATAAAAATCACAGGATTTTAACCAGTGTTGACTATCGTGACTTAACAGGTTTGGTTTATCTGGATGAGTGGTACTCTTTGTCCTTTGACTGCTGCTCTACAAAGAGAACAGACGTAATCCAGTTTGTCTCCTAATTGTGGCTTTTTTCTGCCTGTTTCAGTAACCCAAACCTCTTTGTTTACTGCTGTGACTTTTCTGCCACAGCTATTGAGCTGCTCAAGGTAAGTACAGTGGCTGCTGTAATCTCTTCTAACTGAAGGAAAAGAAGCTCCTCTAAAACCCAGGTTCACTAACTCTGTTATTGTATGAGTGCAGCAGCCTGCAATGCAGAGCCAGATGCTGAACCTAGCACTTAGCTGGAACGCAGGCAGGGTCCTGGACCTCTTCAGACTTGTTAAAAGTGTGTGTGTGTGTCTGTGTCTATGTCTGTGTACTTGCAAGCGTCAGGGATTGGATTCTCTGGGCAGTTATGAGCTTCCTGATGTGAATGCTGGCAATCAGACTCACGTCCTGCAATAACAATATGATGTTAACATGAGCTCTTAACTGCTGAGACATCTCTGCAGCCCCATCTGCAAACATTTTTGTTGTTTGTTTTTGAGACATGGTCTTATGTACCTCATGGTGACCTTGAACTTTTGCTAGGTAACCTTCCTGATCCTCCTGTCTTTGATTTCCAAAAAGTGCTAGAATTTCACCCTTTCTCATGACTAGACGGAAATCCTTCTGGTGGGAGTAACGGTACTGGCATTTAAGACAGGATAAGCCTTTCTTTATCCTGTGTTCATGTCTTCTGACCCATTTGTCACTCATCCTCTCTGCAGACAAATTCAGAATATGATCCTTCTCGCTGTTTTGCCTTTGTTCATGACCTCTGTGATGAAGATCAGAGTTACCCAGTGCCCGAGGACAGTCTTGATGTCATCGTTCTTATATTTGTTCTTTCAGCAATTGTTCCAGACAAGTAAGTTTAAGGTCCCTTAACTAATCGCCTAAGATAAAGCTGTGATTGAAGACCTTAAATTCTGCTTATGCCCTAAATACAAAGTGTTTTATTGTGTCTAATAGACATGAGAAGCCACACGACTATTGTATTGATGTCCACCTCTGTTTTACCTTTAACCCTTGGCCTGCTGGCTGTGGACTGGTTTCTGCTTTCTTTGTTGGGGGTTAAGTCTGAAAACCGGACAGATTTCTGCTTAGTCCACTCAGCACGAGCTGCTTCAGAGTTAAGATGGCCGTCTCATTGTTGGCCCATTCAGTGCTTGAAATAAGTCAAAATTCTTTTTTTTGTTTTGTTTTGTTTTGTTTTGTTTTGTTTTTGTTTTTCGAGACAGGGTTTCTCTGTGTAGCCCTGGCTGTCCTGGAACTCACTCTGTAGACCAGGCTGTCCTGGAACTCAGAAATCCACCTGCCTCTGCCTCCCAAGCGCTGGGATGAAAGGCGTGCGCCACCACCGCCCGGCATAAGTCAAAATTCTTAACACCCCAAAATCTATACTGACCGGACTGTGTTTTCTGGTGCTTACGTTTTTAGGAAAACTGAAATAACAGCATTCCATAAGATCAGGTTGACATAAGGGAGCTCAAAGGCTGGGTGAATGTTTTGTATAGAGTCTATGCTTCGGGTGCTGTAAATTCCTAATCCTGCGCCAGACTTGTGGGGAGTGTTACATGAGCATTGGCTTACAAAGAAAAAGGGTTGTATTGGCATGTTGGGTTTTGTTTGTCCGTTTGTTTTGGTGGTGGTGGGTTTGCTTTTTTTATTTTGGTTGGTTGGTTGGTTGGTTGGTTTTAGGTTTTTGTTGGTTTTTGGTTGATTGGTTGGTTTTTTTGTTGGGTATTTTGGGTTTTTGGTTTTATTTGTGTGTTTGTTCATTTGTTTTGAGACACAGACAATTTTTAGGCCTTCGGCAAGGAGGTACGTCAGAGACAGAGCAAAACCTCTCATCCCATGGTCAGGGTAAAAAGAAGGAGAAGGGAACAGAATCTTACTGTCCCCTCCCAGGTCACCCACACATGCTTCCCAATAGCCTAAAGGTCCCACGCTTTGAGTTCTTACTACCTTCTAGTGTCATGCTTTGAACATGTGGGCCTCTGAAGTAAAGCATGGGGCAGATGAGAAGCTTCCCTGGCGGTGTTCATCTGCTTGCTGCTTACAGCACCATGTAAGCTGGGGGCTTTTATGTGTACAGTTTTTAAGATTTTGTTTTTGATTTTTAGACAGGGTCTTACTAAGTTATCTGAGCTGGCCATTGACTCATAGTCTTCCTGCCTCAGCCTCCCTGAACTGAGCTTTCCTGCCCACACATAAATTGCCCAAAACAACAACCCTAGACTTCACTGTATGAATAAATGCTGAGGCCAGCAGCTTTGGCTCTGTTCCCTGACTAACTCATATCTTAATTATCCATTTATTTTATTATGTATTCTGTTAAATGGCTGGATACTTGATCCTCAGTTTCTCATGACTGTCTTTTTCTCTGTCACAGGGCAAATCTTCCCCAAGCCTATCTCTATCCTAGAAATCCAATCTCTTTCTACTGGATGTCCCAGATTTTAATCCTTCCTCATTCTTCCTCAGCTCATTGGCCAAAGGCTTTTTTACTGACAGGTGAATCTTCCATAGATTCTACCCGCTCTTCCATTCCCTCTACCCCTTCCAAGTGCTGAGACTCCAGGCATGAACCATCCCACCGGCAGCTTGAACTTCACGGTTGATAGAGTTTGGGTGTGATAGATGTGTGGGTGCCCTGGAAGGGGACAGTGGGAGTCCATGCCCCTCCTCTTCCTCTTGTTCACCCTGACCATGGAATGAGATGCTTTTGAGAAGTTTTGCTCTGGCTATGATGTGCCCCCTTGCTAAAGCCTAAACGTCAACTTCACTCCAAAACACAGGCCAAAATACCGTGAGTCACGTGTGTGGCCATAGAAGCACTGTGTGTTCAGGGCTCCTAGAGCTACAGGAACTGTGGCAAGGGTGACGATCACAGGACCGCCAGGAAGCGAGCCTGGTTTAATACTTGGAATGTCCACCACCATGAGAGACACTGGCTGGCCTTTAGTATCAGAGTTAGGGAGTCTGTTGTCCTGGGGTTCTTGCGGTAGGAGCAGGGAACTCTATCCTAAGGAGACTTAGACTTCATTCCCTGCTGCCCTGCAGGATGCAGAAAGCTATCAGCAAGCTAAGCAGACTCCTGAAGCCTGGAGGGGTGATGCTTCTTCGAGACTATGGCCGCTATGACATGGCTCAACTTCGGTTTAAAAAAGGTATGTGAGAGTCTGGAGAGACGGGTCAGTAGTTAGGAGTACTGGCTGTGCTTGGAGAGAACCCGGAACCTGAATTCAGTTTCCAGCATCCACAGGGTGGTCTCAACTGTCTGTAACTCCAGTTCCAGGGAATCTAATGCCTTCTTCTAGCCTAAACAGTCGCTGGACATGCATGAGGTACAGATACATACATGGAAGCAAAATACAAAAAAAAAAAAAAATTAGTATCAGCACTCAGAAAGCAGAAGCTGATCACTGTGTTCAAGTCAAGCCTAGTGGTTTACATAGTAATTCCAAGTCAGCCAGGACCATACCATACCATATTGTCTACAGAACACGTGTGTGTATAGAGGTAGTGTGGGGCTCGGGTGCAGTGGCTTATTTGGTTGAGCGCTGTCTTGGTTAAGGTCACAGTTGCTGTGATAAACACCATGATCAGAACCAGCTTGGAGAGAAAAAGGCTTGCTTGGCTGACACGTCCACATCGTAGCCGGCACTGAAGGAAGTCAGGGCAGGAACTCAGGCAGGGCAGAAAGTCAGGGCAGGAACTCAGGCAGGGCAGGAAGTCAGGGCAGGAACTCAGGCAGGGCAGGAACTCAGGGCAGGAACTCAGGGCAGGAAGTCAGGGCAGGAAGTCAGGACAGGAACTCAAGCAGGGCAGGAACTCAGGGCAGGAGCTGGTGCGTAAGCCATCGAGAAGTGCTGCTTCCTGGCTTGCTCAGCCTACCTTCTTAAAGATCCTAGGACCAGCAGCCCACAGTGAGCTGCCACCCCTGCACCCCCACCTGTCATTTACTAATTAAGAAACTTTCCTAAAGGCTTGCCTAGAACCTAAACTTTTTTTAGTCTTTCAGGACAGAGTTTCTCTGTGTAGCTTTGGCTGTCCTGAAACTCACTCTGTAGACCAGGCTGGCCTGGAACTCACAGAGATCCTGCTGCCTCTGCCTCCCGAATGCTAGGATTAAAGGTGTGAACTACCTGGTCAAGCTTACCTAGACCCTGATCTTATGGAGGCATTTTCGTAATTGAGGCTTCCCTCCTCTCAAATGTCTTATAGCTTGGGTCAAACTGACATAAAGCCAGCCAGCACAAGCACCTGCTTAGATACATAAAGCCCTGGTTTTGATCCCTCAGATGACATAAAACTAGGTATGTATATACCTATGACTCAGTGCTTAGAAGGCAGAGGCAGGAGAGTCAGTTGTTTAAGGTCGTCTTCAGATACATAGCAAGCCACCAGGGGCTACGTAGGACCCTGTCTCAAATAATTTGTTTTCCAAAAGTGTATTTTGCCACTTTCATAAACAAAAACAAAAGAAAACAAAACAAAAAAAATCAGTCTGCTAACCAAACTAGACCTACATTAACACTAGCAGTAGAAAGGTTAGGAATTGTTTGTTTGTTCCTTTGTTTATTTGATATTATCTCTTAAGGAACAAAAGGGCTAGACAGATGGCTCAGCAGTTAAGGCTTCTTTCTGCAGAAGACCTGAATTTGGTCCTAGCACCCATGTGGCAGTTCTAGGGGGTCACGTGCCCTCTTCTCACACCACAAGTTCCTTCATGCATGTGGTAACCATACATAGAGTCAGGCACACACTTATGCACATAAAATGAATATTTTTTTTATAAAACATAAAAAGGGGCTGGAGAATTGGCTTAATGGTTAGAGCACTGACTGCTCTTTCAAAGGACCCAGGTTTGATTTCCAGCACCTACATGGTGGTCAGCAGCTGTCTGTAACTCTAGTTCTCAGATTTCAGAGGCAGTTCTGGCCTCCAAGGGTACTGCATGCATACTGTACAGACATGTGCAGACAAAACACCCATAGACAAAAAGTAAATGTGGGGGGGGGGGGCTGCAATCAGGATGTAAGGTGAATAAATAATTAATGGAAAATACATAATTTTAAAGGAAAAATATAAAAAGAGAAGCAATTTTTAATGAGATCTAGACCTTATCAGAAGTTTAAGGAAAGTAAAATGAAGGGGTTAAGGGCTGGGGAGATGGCTCAGTGGTTTAGAACACTGGCTGCTCACTCAGAGGTTCTGAGTTCAATTCCCAGCAACCATCCACATGGTAGCTCACAACCATCTGTAAAAGGAGTCTGATGTACTGTTCTGACATGCAAGTGTACATGCAGACAGAGCACTCGTGCATAAAGGAATAAATCTTTTTTAAAAGTTAAAAAAAGAAATTAATAAAGTGAAGAGGCTTAGCTCGTGGCGGAACCTTGCCTGACATATCGCAGCCCTGGTTGTTCTCTGGGCTGAAAGAATGTTGTAAGCGAGCCGAGGCCTGGGAGCTCACCTCAGAGTGGCACATCTCCTGGCATGCACAGTGCTCTCAGCACTAAATGTCAAGTCAGGTGCCAGGGTGAGGAAACATTTTCAGTGTTCGCCGCAGATGAAGTCTTAATATTTGTGTTGATCACAGGACTGTCAGGAGCTTGATAAGAAGATCCAGGACCCACCCAAAAAACGAACAGTTCAATTTAAATGACCAATAAACAAATGTTCAAGAAAATAAAAGTAGAAAGATAATTCTTCTCAACCCTATTGCTGCCAGTTCAAGCAAAGAGCTAGATGCCTCCATTTAAGATAAAAATACAAATTTCTGTGGCCTTTTTTAAGCACGCTAATATTTTTTTCAATTTATCAGTCTTGGAAGAAACTGCTGGCATAAAGTAGGTATGAACAAAACCTTGGAAGCTGGGGTTGCTCACTCTAAGGTGGTCCACACACTGCGTCTCTGTTCTGTATTACTGGGTGAGAAAATCCATGTGTGGATGATTGTTTTAAGCCTGATCGCTTGAATAAAAGTTCAGTGGGAGCAAATGCATGCTGTTATATGTGAACTGTTAGGAACATGTAGGGGATTACATGCTGTTATATGTGAACTGTTAGGAACGTGTAGGGGATTACATGCTGTTATATGT